TGCCACGGACCTGAGCAAGACCATTCTGGGGTTCAGAGATGAGTGCAGACGTTAATATTATTAATGTGCTTTTATCCTTTGGGGGTTCAATTTCAGTAAAAAAAAATCTGCTCAGGAGCAAGGTCAAGGTCATCATCCTGGGCTCCCTCTGTATATCCCATGCATTTGGTTGTACCTCAAGTCTACCGATTGAACCTGTCCCTCTCTTGCCTGCCTCCAGTGGTACCAAGCTCCTGGTGGGATTATACCAACAAGGGTCGATGTCCCCTTGTTTTTTGGATTTTATTTAGAGACAGGTTTTCATTAAGTTGCGTAGGGCCTTGCTAAGTTGTAGAGGCTGGCCTCCGATTTGTGATCCTCCTGCCTCAACCTCCTGAGCCACTGGGATTACAGGTGGGCGTCACTGTGCCTGGCTTCCTAGGCTTGTGGTTCCAAGGCTAGCAAGCACAGGAGCATGCATTGAACCGTCTCTGCACATAGGACAGTTTCTCAGGCCACGGCTCGTGGGAGTAGGCCTTTGTGATGTAATGAATTCTAAGGATTTTATGTCGCCCCCACGTCTGTTTTGAATACAGGCTTAAATGTCTTGTGCAAGGAGCCTTGGGTGACTTTTCCCGCCATTTCTGTTTCCGTATTGTGCTCAAGTGGCTCACCTGACCAATGGCTTTTATTTCCTGATCCTGACTCTGCCCAGAATCTGTACATAAAAATCTTGGCACCTGTTCCTCCAGGGGCGCCATATTGAATTTACACCTTCCATTGGAAAGACCAGCCCCAGCCTGCAGGGAGCCAGGTGTTCCCCCAGGAGAGCAGGGAGAAACACCAAAAGCAAGGTCACAAACACCAAATTCCCTCTCCTGGTTATTTTTAGATCCATCATGCATTAGTAGAAGTCCTGGCCAGAGCAATTAGACAAGAAAAAGAAGAAAATGGGTATGTCCATTGGAAAGCAGGAAGTTAACGGATCCTTGTTTGTAAGAGAGAGCTTCTTTATATAGGACGCCCTCCAGAAGACTGTTGGACTAACAAACCAGTTCAGTCAAGTGGCAGGATAAAAAACCCAGCGCACAAATCTAGTGCTGGACGAATGACCCCCAATTGAGCTGGGGGTTCTCAGAACTGTTCTCTGCCTGCGAATCCCTGACTGGATGATCAGAGCGCTGTTGGATGGTTCTGTGTCCCACTCAACCCCAAGACTGCCCCACCATCTTCTTCCCGGGATGGTCGCCATATGCATTTATGGAATGGAAGTGGATCTGGTGGATCTGCTGGTGAATTGCTTTGGGTGGCAGAAAATAGATTAGGTCAACCAGCAAGTGACCTCTGTCTACCACTTTATCATCCTGGCAACCTTTTATTTGCGTTATCCTAACCGAGTGCCCTGTGGTCAAGGTGGCATCTCAGGATGATGGGGAGGAGAGGGATTCAGAAGGGGGTCGGAGCTCATGGATAAAACCCGCTAGCTGGTGACCCCAGGTGAATCCGTACCCGACTTTCAATTCTGGGCTCATTTTACTAGCTCCCGAAAAAACAGAAGCTGCCAAATTAAGGAGAGAGAGAGGAAAGAGCAAATAGCTAACAAGAACAAACTGAGTGTTTCATTTTATTTTTGCAGCTAGTGCAAAAAGAATTCTTGCTTCCTTTCTCAGCCCACTGTTAGCAGAGAGGAGTGCAACTGGGCTTTGGATCCTACAAGTTTCCCGAGTCTGTTTATTAGTGCCAACTGTTTTCTGGTGAAGTCTTGAGGGTTTTCTGTATACAAGACCACACCGCCTGTAAACAGGGGGAGTTGGATTCTTTCCTTTGATTCTTTTTCTTGAATCGCTCTGGCTACGACTTCCAATAATGCACTGTGTATCTCGAGATAATTACAAGAGAGGGTTTTGAATCTACTCATAATAAAGGAGTGATCAATGTTCGGGGGCATGGATATGCTCAGGGTCCTGGGGTTGATCATCACCCAATACATACGTGCATCAGAAGAGCGTGTTGTATCTCATAAATATTCACAAACAGGAGGTGCCAATCAAAAACATAAAATAAGTAATCATGGAAAAACTAACAAAACTGCATGCATGACTTATTTCCTTGCTTGCTTATCTTTCAAGGAAGGGAATCGAGGGAAATTGAGTTTGCATTTTTTTTATGGAAGTGGAAGATATTTCAAAGGGAGAGGGGACCAAAGGGTCATAAGAAGATGGAGAGCATTAGTAAAGCCTGGCTCCGCGGTACCCATGGGTGGCAGTAGGGATTCTCGGATTTGGGTTCAGACAGAGCCATGGTGGAGCGAGACGCTGGTACTCTTCCTGTGGTGCCCAGATGATGGAGATTTGGCCCCATGGATTTACCAGATAAAGAATGAATTCCCTGGAATCAGAGGACTGAAATGGAGAAGTCTTTGGATCGCTGGTTCAGGTACAGGATGATGTCCTCTGTTATAACCTCTTGCTTGCCGTGGTGCTGACGTTAGGAGAGGTGTTGTTTTGTTTTGGTGCTGGGGACATAATCCAGGGGCACTTTGACACTGAGCTACGTCCCCAGCCTTTTCATTTTGCTATTTTGAGACAGGGTCTTACTAAGCTGCTGAGGCTGGCCTCCATCTTGGTGATCCTCCTGCCTCAGCCTCCTGAGTTGCTGGGGTTAAATCACACCCAGGCGGCTGTTTAGACGGAAGCTTGCTCTGTTTGTATGGATGTTGCTGAACGTACTTGGAATTCTTTTTTTTTCTCCCCTCATGGATATGGGGATGAAGTCTGGGTTTACCAGAGGCAGCATAAGTTAAATAATGGATTGCAATGGAAAATGGTCTCTCAAGGGTAATTCTAGGGGTGGGATGGTGTCTTCCATGGAAGAACCTTTTGGTGGACTCATCATCTGTTGAGACCAGTCCCTTACAAACCCGTTCACAAGGTGGACCTCTCCTCGCTCTTTGTCAACAGGTGTGTGAGGAAGGAGCTACGATTCTGTTGGGACTTTCAACTCCAAGCTCAGTACTCATAGCCCCCCAGCTCAGGCAGCAAAAGATTTTACATTAAAGATGGATGTTTGAGTTGGCTTCTTCATTAATGTGACCAAAAGACCTGAGAAGGACTATTTAGAGGAGGAAATGTTTATTTGGGGCTCACGGTTCCAGAGGTTCAGACCACGGTTGGCCGACTCCATGGCTCTGGCCCAAGGGGAGCAGAACAAGATGGCGGCAGGGCCTGGAGGAGGAGAGCAGCTCAGGACAGGGCACCAGGGAGCAGAGAGAGCTCTGCTCACCAGGGACAGGACAGAGACCCCAAAGGCACAGCCCAGGGACCCCCTCCTCCAGCCACACCCCACCTGCCTGCAGTCACCACCCAGTGAGTCCATCCAAGTGGATTAATCCACTTTTTAGTTTACAGCTCCCATAGTCTTATTATTGCACCTCTGAACATTCTTGCATGGCCTCACACATGAGCTTTTTCATGTCTAAACCATAACAATGTCACAGGGGATGATAATTCTCACCTGGGGGACACAAGATCCTGGACCCACACCCTCGCCCATCTAAGCATCCTAATAGAACATGCTCCCTCCAACCCTGGCTCATCCATCCCCAGACGCCCATCCTGCAGAGGAGAAGAGACCCTGCCTGTCCCCTCCCGCAGCCTGCAGGACGACGGTAGCTCATTACCTTGCCGTCCACTTGGTATTGTGAGTGCTTTTTTGCTGAGTCTCGGTAAAACAATCGAGTCAATCTTCATTGACTCACAGGAGACCTGCCAAGGAAATTTGCTGGCGGCCTCACTCTGGAGGGTCGTGAATACTCAACGGGAAGGCAGAGCAAACATGGTCGGGGGGCGGGGGGAAATCCACTTAAAAAGTGCAAAGCCGGATGGACAAGGTCAGGCCCCGCCGAGTAGCCAAGGGAACTGAAGTGTTGACGGGGGGAGGACTGAGGAGGCCTGAGGGTATCCCATCCTGCTCAGCAGGTCACCCGCGCACCTCGCCGTGGCTCTGCTGGGTGCCCCCTCGCAGCCCCGTCCCGTCCTGAAGTCGGCCCTGTTCCCCCCTGGTTTGCTAAGGCGTCTCCTGCTCCCTCCTACTTCTCCGAGGGAGAGAGGGAGAGTTGGGAAGGTGCAGCCTCCAGGTTCCTCTTGTTCCTCAAGCTCACGCCGCCGTCTCCAGCCGCTCAGGGGCTTGCAGGTCCCTCCCCTGGTGAACACGGGGTCGGCGACACCTGTCTGTGGGCCCCAGAGAAGGGGTGCACGTGCGCCTGGGCCCCCACTGCTTCCCGAAACCCTGCCGATCGTTTATTCCTGCAAGGAATCCAACGCCCCAGGGGACATGTCCTGGGCGGACAGACTCAGAGGGATGGAGAGACGTTCTCTCTGCACACTGCTGACCCTCGCACTCGGAGCGCCGAAAGATGTCTGCGGGTTCTCCTCTTCTAAAACAGTGACCTAAACCGGAATCTGCAGTTGGTTTTAGAAAAGGAGCAACATTGCAGACTTGTCCTGGACTCAATGAGCAAACTCCGAACTCCTCCAACAGAGATGATGGGGCGTGGTCGGAGGCTCCGTTGGTGTTGGGTTGGGGAGATCTGCGGGCCTCGGGGATAGTTTTCTGAGCACAAAGTCCAGTTTGGGTCCAGGTTAGGAAGGAAAGATCTTGGCCGGCCGCTTGGAAGGAACTGCGTGTTTTGCAAATAAACACACTAGAAAGAGAATGAAGTTTATTCTTTCTCCTCCTCCTCCTCCTCCTCCTCCTCCTCCTCCTTCCCCCCCAGGGCCTTGTGCATGCGAGGCATGCACCCTACCAACTGACCTCTGTTCCCAGACCAAGAATGAAGTTGTTGAGTAGCAATTTCCTAGACCTAAGTGTCTTTGGAGCCTATGGCGTCTGGGGTGGCTGGGACGTACGTGTGGCCTCTTATAAATCTGCAGAAGGAGGACGGAGGGTCACAGAGAAGGAAGAGGGGACCCCCACCCCCACCCCACCCCATGCTACCAGCGTCTTCCAATTCTCTTTTGCAGGAAGATGAGGGTCCTTTTCCTCCTGCTGGTATTTCTGGGGGGAACCCAGAGCCACACAACGTCAAGGCCGAACATCGTCCTGTTGATGGCGGACGACCTTGGCATCGGAGACCCTGGGTGCTACGGGAACAAGACTCTCAGGTTTGCACGCCCAGCTCCTGGGTGGGCACGTGGCGCTGTTCACCGGCAACGGGCTCCCGTAGAGGTGGACGCGGAGGGACAGAGCTCAGACCGCAGGACAATGTGGAAGTCCCTTCAAGTGGGGCACCCCCGGGCGTGGCTTTATGTGCACACAGGGAGAAACGGGGAGCGTGGATCGTCCCTGAGTTTGGGCTTGACCTGGAAGACCTCAAAGCCACCACAGGAGTGAGCGTGCCCCCCTCCAGATGTTCTCTTGCTCTGCCGACGTCTCCCTGTCCCCCCTTTCGTCCCGTTCCGTGTCTTTTCTTGGGCATCCGGCTGGGTTCCAGGTGGTCCCGAGCCTGTGCCAGCTCATCGGAGCTTAGGGACCTTTATTGTCACTTCAAGACCCACCACCCGGCTCTCTGTCCATCTCCAACCCACCTGCACTCTCCTGGGCCACGTGGGCTGCAGGAACAGGACACCCCAGCCCGGGGGGGCTTATCAGCAAAACATGTCCTGCTCTCAGCCCTTGAGGCTGCAGCCCGAGGTCCAGGCGGGGCCGACCGGGGTCAGCTGAGGCTGCTTGCTTCCTGCTCCCAGAGGGTGCCTTCTCCTGGGTCCTCCGTGGTGGACGGGCAGGGGGCTCTCTGAGGCACCAACCCTATTCATGAGAATCTCCCCTCACAGATCCTACCTCCTAATACCATCACCTTGGGCTTAGGCTTCCACACAGGAGATTCAGGGCATCAATTGCATTCAGACCCTAGCCCTGGCCAAAAACCCACGAGGAGCAATGTCACATTTTACGGTGGTACAGCTTTTTAAAAACCAGGGATAACTCCAACAGTGGGGAGAACACAAGGTGGGGCAGATTCGGGGCACCCAGCTCACGGGTATTAACCAGCACCTCCTGGAGGAGGACATAGGGTTGGGAAGCCCTGTGCCTAGAACTGCCATCACTCGGGATGTCATGCAAGGGCCCTGTGGTCGCTGTGTGATAGGCGATGGGAGTTCCAGATTCCTTTTCTCTCGTGAACAGTGAATAAACCCTGCTCCCTGTGCAGAAGACCAGTATAACCTAAATTAAAAGAGAGGGCACCCAGCTCTAAAACTGGATGATTCTTCGAAAAATAATAAGAACAACTTGCTCATAAGACATCGCCAAGGGTACCTCACGTTACGCCTGAATCTTCTTAACTTTTAGGCATTTATTCACTTATTTTTTAGCTGTTCAGCTTGTCGGGTTATTGTGTTTATTCGTGGTTGACGGATAAAGAAAGCGAGGGACAGGAAATCAAGCAACTTGCTAAACTTCACACCACAAGTGACGGCATTGAACTTGTTGTTTTTGAAAGAGTCCTGCAAACTGGGTGCCGAGGCGCCCGCCTATAACCCCAGGGGCTCCCCAGGCTGATTCAGGAGGATCCCAACAGTCTGCTTGGCATTCAAGCCTTGCCCCCCTTCTGTCCCACGAGTCCACTCTTCCCGTCCCCCAAGGCCAGAGGGACCAGGAGCCCGGTGCCCTTGGAGGACATGAGTGGACCCACGTGGATCATGGTTTGGTTCCCATCTTGAGTTCCGTGCCCCCACTTGCTCCCCTCCCCTACGTCCCTGAGAGGGTTCCCCGTGTCCCAGAGGGACCAGGTCAGCTTGGCTGGCACGGTCCTCACCAATGGCGTGGTTCTTTCACCCCAGGACACCGAACATTGACCGGCTGGCCAGCGGGGGGGCCAAGCTGACCCAGCACCTGGCGGCGTCGCCCCTGTGCACCCCGAGCAGGGCGTCCTTCATGACGGGCCGGTACTCGGTGCGATCGGGTAGGTGACCATCATCCCGGGGGACGGCCAGCTCCAGGGTCACTCTGGTTCTTAAGGGCGTCTTCCGTTGGCCCCTCAGGAATGGCGTCGTGGAACAGAATTGGCGTGTACATCTTCACGGCTTCCTCTGGAGGGCTGCCCCCCAGTGAGGTCACCTTCGCCAAACTCCTGAAGAGCCAGGGCTACTCGACGGCGCTGATAGGTATGGAGTCCTCAGGAGGGTGCAGGGGGGCGTGGGCAGGGCTAGCCAGAGAGCAGGACAGGCTCGGGCAAGCTCAGGGCGACGTCACCCGCACAGGGCACATCGTTACATAGGGAGCCTCGGGGACGGTGTCACCCAGACAGAGCACATTTTACATGGGGGTGAAGGCACTCGGCTCAGGGCGAAACCATGATGAGCATGTCAGGCTAATTGTGTGTGAGTGTGTGTGTGTGTATCTTTATATGAGTTGGTGTATATGGATGGATGGATAGATGGATGAATAGATGGAAGGATGGATAGATGGATGGATAGATGGATGGATGGATGGATGGATGGATAGATGGATGGATGGATGGATGGATGGATGGATAGATGGATGGGTGGATGGATGGATAGATGGATGGATAGATGGATGAATAGATGGATGAATAGATGGATAGATGGAAGGGTGGATGGATGGATGGATGGATGGATGGATGGAAGGATGGATGGATGGATGGATGGATGGATGGATGGATGGATGGATGGATGGATGAATAGATGGATGGATGGATGGATGGATGGATGGGTGGATGGATGGATGAATAGATGGATGGATGGATGGATGGGTGGATGGATGGATAGATAGATGGATGGATAGATGGATGGATGATAGATGGATAGATGGATAATAGATGCATAGATGGATGGATGGATAGATACGGTGGACACACAGAGTAGATAGAGAATGGATGCATGGATAGATATAGTGTGCATAGAGCAGGTAGAAAATGGATTGATGAATAAAGGGATGGATGGACAGAGTACATGGGTAAAGTGGATAGAGAAATATAGAATGAACGATGGATAGACACATATATCTAGTGGATGGACAGAGGGGATACGTTGTAGATGGATGGATAGATAGAGTGGATCGATAGAGAGATAGAGAATTGCTGGGAGGATGGAAAGATAGACAGGTATGGTGGATGCATAGAATAGATAGAGGATGGATGGATGTATGGACAAACAGACACATACATATAAATAGTGCATGGATAAAAGATAGACAGATAGATGAGATGGATGGATTAGATAGATAGGGTAGAGTAGACAGGATGGATGGGTGGATGAATGGGTGGATGGATGGACGGATGGATGGATGGATGGATGGACAGATGGATGGATGGATGGATGGATGGATGGATGGATGGATGGATGGATGGATGGATGGGTAGATGAATGGGTGGATGGGTGGATGGATGCATGGATGGGTGGATGGATGGATGGGTGGGTGGATGGATGGGTGGATGGGTGGGTGGATGGATGGGTGGGTGGATGGATGGGTGGGTGGATGGGTGGGTGGATGGATGGGTGGGTGGATGGATGGGTGGATGGGTAGATGGATGAGTGCATGGGTGGATGGATGGGTGGGTGGTTGGATGGACAGATACAATAGTGCATAGATGATTGATAGATAGGTAGGGATGGGTTACATAGGATTGAGTAGTTAGAAAATAGATAGAGTGGATGGAAGAGGAGATAGAAAATGTGCGGATGGGTGGACGTACAGAAAGGTAATGCACACCTACAGTGGGTGGACAGAGTGGATAGACGGATGACGGACGGATAGAGTGAATGGGAGAAGTAGACTGGCGGGTGGGTAGATACTGATAAATGGATGGCCGGGCAGACGGAAGGAAGAATGGATAGAGGGGTGAAACGTGAATGGGCCAGTGATCAGTAGGTAGATGATGGATAATATGGCGGCCGAGAGAGTCATGGCAGATGATAGACAAACAGCTGGACATGCACAGAGGACGCTTACAAACCTACACGTACGCACCGTCCTATCATATTTTCAGTTCTGGGGGACGGTCCCATCCACCTGAGTGATGTCCCCTTGTGCTTACTGATCAGTTTTAAGCTGCTCACCTGATGAATCCCAGATGGTGTAGCCAGGCGCAGTAGGGCACAGCTGTGATCCCAGTGGCTCAGGAGGCTGAGGCAGGAGGATCGCAAGTTCAAAGCCAGCCTCAGCAACTTAGCGAGGCCCTAAGCCGCTCAGCACGACTCTGTCTCTAAATAAAATATAAAAAAGGCTGGGGATGGGGCTCAGTGGTTAAGTGCTCCTGGTACCAGAAAAAAAAAATCCCTATTATCTTTCTGCCTGCCCCACACCTCATTTGGTGACACGATTAATACTTTATAAAAACGTTTTGAAATGATTGCTGAGCCACTGGGTGTGACTTCCTCGTGCCCCTGGGGGTAGCTTTAGAGTCAGGGTTCATTTCCCCATTTAATACCCAAAGAACTCGATTTCTGGGTCCTCAGATTTGTTTTTAAGGCACGGTTTGCCCCCAGGTCTGGGGAGGACCCCGGAAGGTTCTGTGGCTGCTCTTTGGTTTCTCTGCTTGTGGGTCGTTCGCTGGTTTGAATCTCCAGGTCCCTTCTCCTCTGGGGGGGGATGCGTGGATCCGACACGCCCGGGACTCAAGTTGTCCCCGCCACTTGTCTTCTCAGGGAAGTGGCACCTCGGCATGAACTGTCACAACAAGACCGACTTCTGCCACCACCCCTTGCGTCACGGCTTCGACGAGTTCTTTGGGATCCCCACGACCAACCTCAGGGACTGCAAGCCGGGGGAGGGCACGGTCTTCGCCTCGGCCCACCGCTGGCTGGTGTTCGTCCCGCTGCAGGTCATCGGGCTGGCCGTGCTGACCCTGGGGGCGCTGCGCTGCCTGGGGCTGCTGCGGGTGCCCCCGGGCGTCTTCCTCGGCCTCCTGCTCCTGGTGGCCCTCGTGCTCCTCCTGTTCCTCTGCTGCCTGCACTTCTTCCGGCCGCTCAACTGCTTCCTGATGAGGAACTACGATGTCACGCAGCAGCCGCTGTCCTTCGACAACCTCACCCAGAGGCTCACGGCGGAGGCCACCAGCTTCATACGACGGTGGGTGTCCCCTGTGCGCCTGGGGATCCCCGGGGAGAGGAAGCCCTTGGCTTGATCCAAAAACGGAGGAAGGTTCTCTAGACCCATGTCCCGTCCACACCCAATGGGCTTCTCTGGCCGGGTCTCTGCAGGGGGGGACGCAGGACCCACAGGCTGTGCATTAAGGGGACTCCCCTCGGGAGGACCCCCTCGAGCAGGTGACCAAAGGCCCCGGGAGTCACCTCGGGGTCCACTGAGATGTGCACAATGACAGACGATGACCTTGGGGTCTAAACAGATGGAAAGGTCCAGAATATCTTAGGCTGATCCTCGAGCCAAGAATCTCCGTGAATTAACTGCGTGACGTGTGCAATGGTTTGGGGCCTGGGGGATCCCATTTGGTCCGTGGTCTTGGATATTTGGGACTTAATTGTGAAACACACTTTTAAAAAATTCTTCTAAATTTGTTGTAATTATATAAGACAGTAGAACGAACTTTGATACATCCCATATAATGGAGCATGACTTCTCCTTCTTCTGGTTGTACATGACGTAGAATCACACTGGTCATGGAGTCGTATATATGCACATGAGATAATAATGTTGGATTCATCTACTGTCCTTCCTACCCCATACCCCTTCCCTCACTTTCGCTCCCCTCTGCCTAATCCAGAATATCTTAATTCTTCCCTAGTGCAGCCCCCATTGTGAATTAACATCCACATATCAGAGAAAACAGTTGGCTTTTGTTTTTTGGGGAACTGGCTTATTTGACGTAGCATGATATTCTCCAGCCCCATCCATTCACCAGCAAATGCCATGATTTCATTCTTCTTCAAGGCTGAGTAATATTCCATTGTGTATATGTACCACATTTTCTTTTCTTTTTTTAAAAAGAGAGAGAGAGAGAGGAGAGAGAATTTTAATATTTTATTTTTTAGTTTTCGGCGGACACAACATCTTTGTTTGTATGTGGTGAAGAGGATCGAACCCGGGCTGCACGCATGCCAGGCGAGCACGCTACCGCTTGAGCCACATCCCCAGCCCCCACATTTTCTTTGTCCATTCACCTGTTGAAGGGCACCTAGGTCGGCTCCACAGCTTAGCTGTTGTGAATTGAGCTGCTATAAACATGGATGTGGCTGCATCCTTTAACGCAGCTCTGAGAGAGATGTGCTCGTGACTTGGTGGTCTTCTGTGGTCAGAGCGGGGTTTGTGGGCTCTGGAGATCCAGCCGGTGGAGGCTCAGTCCTTGGTCTGGCAGAGTAGAGGTGGTTGGCCCTTTAAGAGGCGGGGCCTACCAGGAGGTCATTATTTCAAGGGGGACATCACTCCCGGAAGGGATTGGTCGGCTGCAAATAGCTGGGCATCTTTCTATGAGTCTGCATTTCCCAGCAGTGTCTCAGAAATATCCATCTCTCGTGCAAGGACGGTCCCTAAGTGGCCCTTGGATTCTGTGGCCAATCCTTTATGAGACCAAGTTGTCTTTACAGAAGTGACTTAATCGCTTGATCGTGTGAATCTGGGGCATCATAGCAAGACATTGTCGTGGTCTCTCAGTGCAAGAGTTTGGAAGAGAATCAAAAATGTTTTCAATTATCATAACGATTCTGAAGCCTGACCCGATTATTGGGATTCTATTGAGATTTTCTGCAATTTTCTCCCAGAACCAGAGGTTTGAGAAGTTTCAACAACACCGTGCTTGGAGGTTACGGTTACTGAGTTATAATGAAAGGGATTTTTTTTCTCTGTCTCTTGGAAATAAATGGTTCTCGTGTACATGACTCTGATTCACACGGCTGGTATTAGGGAAAAAACTAGCATTTTTAGGCCGTGATGTTGTTGACAAAAAGATGCTTCTGACTTGCATGGTCTGAACATGCAAAGACTGAAAGCAACGAGGTAGAAATCACACTTGGATGAAATGGCCCTCTTGTGTTTTACCAGTTACCTGATTCAACAGAGATGTCAAGCAAGAGTCCCGAGAGATTTACCTCCAGATAGTGCCAAAGCGTCACAGCAAAAGTGGCTCGGCGCAGTGTTGACACGGCATCTTTTCCCCCAAAGATGTGAGACACAGGTGCCTTTGAATTCAAAATTGCCCAACTGAAGCCCGGCGCAGTGGCACACACCTGTCATCCAGCGGCTCCGGAGGCCGGGGCAGGAGGATCGTGAGTTCAAAGCCAGCCTCCGCCAAAGTGAGGCCCTAAGCAACTCAGGGAGACCCTGTCTCTAAATAAAATGCAAAATAGGGCTGGGGACGGGGCTCAGTGGGCGAGTGCCCCTGAGTTCAGTCCCTGGTACCAAAACAAAAACAAAAACAAAAAAATCACCCAATTGAAGCAGGAACCTTATTTAGATGTGTTCAAAGTTTTAAAAACATTTGTGTGTGTGTGTGTGTGTGTGTGTGTGTGTGTGTGCGCCTGGCTCCCAGCGCATCATACATCAGAGATGTCGTAAGAAGCTCTTATTTATAAACGTCACCGTGCATGCCGTGTTGCTGGAGGGATTTCTGTGCACGGCGAGCTGCAGATCGGGGAGCAGGAGTGACAGCCCTCGGGGCCAAGACGCTTCAGGGCTGTGTCATGCCCGTAAATGAGGTCGGCCGTGTCAAAGCCGGAACATGCCCCGGGATCCAAGGCACCTATTTCCGAGGCAGGAAAGTGATGGTTTGGCCTAGGAGCTGTCCCCTTCCCTCCTTTTCTCCCTGAGGGATGAATCGGGGTGGAGGGGGCTTCTGTTCTCAGAGGGCTGCACAATTAGATGAGGGGTGACCCCGGAGCCGGCTCCTCCTCCGTGCCCTCTAGTTAGCAGGAGGTCCACGTCACCGCTGCAGAGAGGAGGGAGCCGCAGGGTTAGAGAAGGGACCCAGCCCTCCTCGTGCGTCCCGAGTCCTGTCTCAAAGCTCTGGTCTGGGTGCCGTGCGCCGCGAATCCCACTCAGGTGCATGACCAGACGTGCAGGGACCAGCCCCTGGGGGGTGGCTGCCAGGTGTGCAATGAGGCACCGAGGACGTTCACATTGTCCTTGTGTGTGTCCTGCACACCCATGTCCTCTGCTCTCTCTCGGGCAGGTTTACTGACAGGCACAGTCAGCGTTAACGGGCAGGGAACTGAGGCGTTGCACGGGGCCCAGGGCCTTGGCTCCAAGCACAAAGGTCTGCACCCAATGCCTGAGTAACCAAGGGAAGAGACGGTAGCTGTGTCTTGTAACTGTGTCACCAAGTAGGCCTCGGTGCCCTTTTCTCAAAGTACCCATCACTATGAGGGTCTATCTTGCAAAAGAGAAATGATCTAATTTTTTTTTGTGTGTGTGACCAGGGATTGAACTCAGGGGCACTCAATCATGGAGCCCCATCCCCAGCCCTATTTTGTGTTTTATTTAGAGACAGGGTCTCCCTGAGTTGCTTAGGGCCTCCCTTTGGCTGAGGCTGGCTTTGAATTCATGATCCTCCTGCCTCAGCCTCCCCATCAGCTGGGATGACGGGCGTGCGCCACGGAGCCCGGCAAAAGATCTGTTCGTAAGGCAGCCAAGTGATGAGATGGGAGACCGAGTTCCAAGTTGGCCTCCCCGAGGGACAGGTGTTAGGAATATTTATGGGGTGAAGAAACAGGTTTGGGGAAAAGTGTGGGAGATAAGGGAATGGAGTATCCGGGGGTGCGTGATCAGACTTCATGGTTGTTCACGGACGGCATGCTCAACACATGGTACAGGTAGCACCCTGGGTCCAACCCCCAGGACTGCAAAAGGGAAAGCAAAATCATCTTGCTAAATTCACCATCACCCTGCCACAGGATAACCTTTAGAAGAGCCAGAGACTCCTGCATGACCAAGGGAAATGCCAACCCGCACACGGAAACCGGCACAGTTAAATAGCCCTTATCTGACCTGCTTTGACCATTAGCATTTGGGAACCCAGATTTTTTTTTTAAGATTGGTGGAGTGTAGCTTTCAGTCCCCTGATGTCCCAAAAAGCAGCTATTGGACCCCAGCGCAGGTCCAGCTGAAGAGCTGATGATTGCATCTGGTTTGAGATGGAGCAAACCCCGCGGCGTCCCTGAGAAACCACCTAGGCACCCGTAGCCTTTATGACCACACAATGAGAAAGGAGTGATAATGGGTGAATTTAGGTAGATCTTTGTCGTTGTCGTTGTTTTTGCGATGCTGGGGATTGAACCCAGAGGCACTCTACTATGACCTACACCCCTTGCCATTTTAAATTTTTTTTTATTTTGAGACAAGGTCTTGCTAAGTTACTGAGGCTGGCCTCCAACTTGTGATCCTCCGGCCTGAGCCTCCCGAATAGCTGGGATATCAGGCGTGTGCCACCGCACCTGGCTTAACTTGATGATTGTATTCACAAAGCAGTGTCTTCTTTAGTTCAAGTGAAGGTTGAATTTCTAAAAGGTGTCATCATGTGTGTGGGTGGAACAAGAATCACGTTTTAAGTCCTCTCGCCCCAAGGGAGACAAACCTCGGTTACTCTGCTTTGTGAAAAGCCAGCTTTGCCCTCTAAATTCACCTAAAAGGGGGGCCTTCTTGCTGAGGATAATCATGAACATTTCAGAAATTACTCTGACCCATTCCTAAAAAAAATACATGCATGCTCACCGTGAAGGATGAGCCCCCAAGAACAGGGCTGGCTTTGTACCACCCGCGTCATCGGTGTGGCTTAGGGGGACCCAACTGTCAGGTTCACAGATTCATGGGACGTTTGCTTTGCATAGTCTCTCCTCCAGGCCCTGTTGACATAAGTCCTAACGACTTATTAAACATAGATGTGCACACTTTGAGAGGCCGTTATTAAAGAGTCAGGTAGATGCTGATTCTTCTCAGTTGAGCTCAATCAAGGCTAACTCTGGTGCTTCCTAAATGGGTCCTTTAGCAAATCCCAAACTTGCAAATGACGTTTTTAACAGATGTGCTTCCCGTCTGCATCCCCCTAGAGTATTCCCCTAGAAGGAGAGAAGTTCCTCCTCCTCGCCTATTTTTTTATTTTTTTGTTACTAGGGATTGAACTCAGGGACACTCAACCCCTGAGCCCCATCCCCAGCTGAACTGAAGACAGTGTCCCCTTAGGGTCCAGTGGGGGGGGGGTTCATTGCAGGATCTGTCCCAGATCCAAAGTCCACGGACGCCCAGGTGCCTGACCTCAAATGGCCTGGTGCTGGTGTGTAAGCGACGCTCGTCTTCTTATGTATCTCAACCGTCTCCCCATGGCTTATGACACCTAGGGCCACGCCAACGCACACTTGTTAGTGTTATTGAGGGATTAATGACAAAGAACAAGATCTGTACATGCTCCGCACAGATACTCTTCTTCTTCTCCCCGAAGGCATGCATCTGGCCCGAGGTTGGTTGAATCTGTGGGTGCAGAGCCCCCGGATACAGCAGGCCTCCAGTGGACACTTATGGAAGGATGGTCTCCGTGCGCCATATTGGATCATGGAGGTGCATGGAATTCCTCGCTTACCGTGGCATAAGCGAGAACCGCTACCCTTTGCAGGAGTGGCCTCGTGACTCCAGAGAGTGGCCTTTGGTGCCCTCGGTTTCCTGGTTCCTACCCGACTGTGGTCAGCAGCTGTGGGGTGTGCAGAAGGAACCCCAGGTGACCCTGTGTGCATTGGCTTGGTGCTGTGCACTGTCGCGGGTTGGAACAGCGGGTAGAAAGACAAAGGCACAGCCTTCAGAGGAGGAATGTCCTCGAATCTGCAAGAAGCATCCTTAGTGTCAGAGGGAAATCACAACAAAACCAAGAAGTCCTCCATGCGTCAGCCTTCCTCCTGCCCGGACTCTCAAGTCCTGCCTCCCCCAGGACGTAAATCTTCCCATTCTGAGATGGAAATGGTCCCCCCGCCGAAGGAGGGCAGGCGTGGAGCCGCCCCAAGCTCTATCTTTCCCGCCCAGCGAGCAAGACAGCCGCCGTAAATTTCCCCCACCGTCGTTTACTGAAGTGGCTCAGTTAATCAAAACTCAGTTCAGCCGTTGTCGAGGGTCTCCCTCCCACCTGCTCACAGACGGGTGTCCAGTGCTCAAGGTCGTGGGCCTTCACAAAGGACGCTCCTTCCCCGTTGGCAAGAAGGGACCCGCCGATCATTTTGCAGAGAGAGGTGCAGCTGGAGGCCGCCAAGGCACGGCCAGCGCTCTTCTCAGAGGTCAGCTCAATGTCAACAAGAGGCGAGTCCACGTCAAGAAGCCCCGAGGCTCATTTGTCCCTTTCAGCCAACCCAGTTGCCAAGCCCCCGACCTCCGCCCGGTAACCTTTGCTCGGGGTCATGGCAGCAAAGGCCAGCGGTCAGCGGGCGAGGCTCGAAGGCGTTGTCGCCCATTCAAAGGAAGTCAGTTTAGCTGCTAACGAAGGGACACTTTTGCAAAGTCGTTCAGGTCCCCAGACGAAAGGAAAGGTCGGGATCCACTCAAGGAATGTTCTGTCTGATCTCAATATCGATGGTTAGCGGTTTATTTCTGGGACATACGTTCTGGAGCATAAGAGGGGCAAGACGGTGCCCCCCGGAGCTGGGTGGGTGCTGGGAGGGTGTGGCCAGACGCAGTGGGTAACTCAAGGTGCTGTCTTCACTGGGTACCAAGGTGTGTGAGAGTGTGTGTGTGCACGCACGTGCGTACAATGAGTGTGAGCATGGATAGATCGACAGGTAGACACGTAAGTAAATATGCATATAAATACGTCAAGATACGTATGTGAGTAGAGATAAACACACACACATATTTAATATATATATTACCCTCTCCAAAGTGAAGATGGCCCGCAAGATGAGTATTTCAAAGTGAATGCTTTTTCCGCGATGTCCGAGTTCATGTTAATTGCCATATAGAGAAGGAAGAGTAAAATAAATCAACCCAAACTGCATCTCTCCCTGATCACACCGTACCTGCAGCACCTCTATGTCCACATGTCATGCCACCAAAATGCCTGGAAGAACAACTTACAGGAGGAAAGATGTCCTTTGCCTCACCATTTCAGAGAAATTGATCCATTGTTGGCTGGTTTCGTTGCTCTAGGTCCAAGGGGAGGCAGAACAAGATGGCGGCAGGGCCTGGAGGAGGAGAGCAGCTCAGGACAGGGCACCAGGGAGCAGAGAGACAGAGAGAGAGGCAAGAGGGAGTCAGGGACACACACGGTCCCCAAGGCCTCCCCTGTCTCCGGCATGCCCCAAGGCCCAGTAGTAGTCCATTCATGTTATTAATCCACCAAGTGGATTAATCCACTGATGACGTCATAGCCCTGGTGATCCAATTGTACCACCTCTGAACAGTGCTGCGGAGCCGAGATTTGGGGGGGACCCTGCCGATGCAAACCAGAACAGGGCTCAGGTCTCAACGACGTCATCCTTCTTGTTGCCGTGGAGGGTCACAGTGGGCTGCTTCCCGGGGACCCTGCAGAGAGTGGCCTGTCCTCCGATGGAAGGGCCCAACATCAGGCAATGACACTGTGGACGTCTGTGCGTTTCCAAATGGCGTCCCTGAATGCTAAGCTGGTCCTAATCAGAATGGAGGGGGATGTCCTCTATGGTCCCTGACTCTCTTTCTCTCTCTCTCTCTCTCTCTCTCTCTCTCTCGCTCTCTTGCTCTCGCAGGCACGCCGAGACGCCATTCCTGCTCTTCTTGTCCTTCGTCCACGTGCACACGGCCCACTTCTCCTCCAGAGAGTTCGCCAGAAAGAGTCGGCACGGCCCTTACGGGGATGGCGTGGAGGAGATGGACTGGAGCGTGGGTACGTGCGCCTCCGCGGCCGCCTCCCTCTTCTCCTTTGTCAATTTCTCCCTGTCACCCGGACGCCATGGGTGACCAGGCATTTGTACTTCTTTTCAAAAAAAGAAGCCAGGAAGACTGTCTCGTTGAGACTTAGATTAAAAATGCATGCCTCAAACTGGGTTCAGTGGCGCACACCTGGAATCCCAGCAGCTCGGGAGGCCGAGGCAGGAGGATCGTGAGTTCAAAGCCAGCCTCAGCAACTTAACGAGGCCCTGAAAACTTCAGTGAGGCTCTGTCTCTAAATAAAACATGAAAAGGGCCGGGGATGTGGCTCCGTGGGTAAGCACCCCTGGACTCAACACCCAGTACCCAAAATAACGTATGTCCTCCAGGCCCATAAAGGATCCTAACTGTACCGTCGTCATCTTGCTCACCTGAGCAATCTTGATTTGTTCCATTGGGATTAGGGAAGGCCACGGTATGTGGATTTTGCAGAGGAATACGCGATCACGGGGCGCGGGATTCTGTCTTGCATCCCAGTCGTCTCTGGCAACCACACCCACGCTCCAGTGTCCTCTATTTTTCCTGCCTCCCTTGATGAACTTGGGCGATGTCTAAAATCCCCGAGTCTTCTGTTTGTCCACTCTGAAGAATTCGGAGTAGGCAGGTGGTAGCTTTCTCCTCCAGCCGAGAGAACAGATGATTCAGCAAAAGAACAGGGGCGAGCAGCAATGATACATGCTCAGCTGGGAAAAGATGGTTGTGCATAAAGAACAGGATGACTCCACAAAAGAACAGGAGTGGCACCAATGGTAAGTTGGGGAAAAAAAAATAGGAAATGAGGACATTATCTCCGTGGAGCTTTTGTCTTACTCACAGGGTTGCTCTACTACTAGGTTTCATTTTTTTCTTCTTCTTCTCCGGATGATTTGGAGAGTGTTTTTCCCTCTGAGATCTGTTGCAGGCTCTGATGGAAGAGGTAATTGGGTTTTCTCTTGTTTGAACAAAAGATAAATTTCTCTGTGTGTCCCGTTCATCTGGGTGTTTTGAGAGCACGTTTAGGTTTGTCAGAAGGGCCTTTCTTCCTCACTCACGAGACTCCTGCAGATTCTGAGATATTCTGCCATAAAGCACGGGGAAGGCGGTTTCTTAAAAAGAAATATTTTTTTTCTGGGCAGAGGAAAGCTGACGCAGGATCGGTGAGCTACCGAGGACCCAGGGGAGCAGCTCGCGGGGATTTGTGTTGTTTTTGAAATCATCCTACCTACGTGTCTTATTGAAACATGCTAAAAAGGAAGGTTTAGACAATCGTCTTTTTTTTTTATTTGTTCTAATTAGGGACACAGGACAGTGGACTGCACTTGGACACGTCCTACATAGATGGAGTGTCACTTCTCCTCCTTCTGGTTGGACATGGTGTAGCATCACCCTGGTCCTGTGGTCACACATGCACACAGGGTCATAATGTCCCATTCATTCCCCTGTCCTGCCTACCCCATACCCTCCCTCCCTTCACTCCCCTCTGCCTGATCCGAAGCACCTCAGTTCTTCCCTAGACCCTCCCCGTTATTGGGAATTAGCGTCCGCAGATCAGAGAACACAGTGTCAGCCTTTGATGTTTTGGGGACTGGTTTAGGTCACTTTGCGTGTTAGTTAGTTTCCAGTTCCATCCGTTTACCTGGAGGTGAAAGTCCATCAGGTTTTATTGCAAAAAATGTGAGGGTGCTGCAGCGGCGACCTTCTCCCCCCGGGGTCTCGCGGACCTGGAAGGCGCGTGCATAACCAAGAAGTCTCATTATGTCATTGTCCCCGGGGTCAGTTCCTCCCTGGGACCTGGACTTGGTTGCTGTGTTCTTAGCTGCGTGTGTGGTTGTCGTATCCGGAGAAAGGCTGGCCGCACGGATAGAGCCCAGGGGTTTGGAAAGGGGCCTCGTGGTAGGACCCTACAGGGGAGACCAGCCTCCCGGGTGGCAGGTACCTCTGTGCACATTCCAGGGGTGCTCCACAGCTGTGTGTGGAGTCACGGTGACTGCCTGGGGACAGCCTGCCCTGCGCCTGGCCCTGGATTCTGCACACATGTCCTTCCCTTTGGGCTGCTGGGGCCCCATGTCACGTTCTCATTACTCGGGTTCCTCGGGTAAGGCAGGGGGGACTTGCAAAAGGTGAGGTGCACAGCCTCAGGTGACAGAATTCCTGATGCATCCTCCATGTTCACAGGCCGGTGTCCCCTCCTGAGCCAGAAGCCCACACCCCCCTCTGCCCCTTCTGTCCACATCATAATAAAGACCGGGTCGTGGCTGGGCACGGTCAGCACAGAGTCTCAAGGAAAGGACTCCTTCCTTCATTAATCACGATTACGCGCTGCCACCTGGGTGCCTGGGCGTTGTGTGCAGGAGGGGACCACAGCGACGAGAAGCCGTTGGCCCCCCACAGAGATTGAAGAACCCTCCGGGACGTGGCGCAATGAGAACTCAGGGTGCAAAGACAGGAATGGCCCAAGCATGGCCCCAGGGCCTCCAGCAGGGCTGGCAGGCACAGGAGATGGGTGCAGCTGGCCACCCCCTGCAGCCGTGGAACCTGTGGCTTGGCCCCTGTTGGTGGTCATGTCTCAGGGTTGCTTTCCTTTGATTGCAACATCCTCTCTGCTCTGCTGAGGGCTGGGCAGTGCTACGTGCAGAGGCTCGGCACAGAAGAAAAGAAGGGGTGCATCCATGACGATGCTCTGGGGAGACGGGGCTCGCTCTCAGTGCCTCTGGACTGCCCCTGACGCGTAGTCACACATGCACAGCAGACATGGCCATGCGTCCACCCCTCTGCAGGGGTGCAGAGTAAATCAGACGTTCTCCTTCATAAGAGCGCAGGATGGAGTCCGGGAATTATAAGAAATCTCTGTTTATGGAAAGCAGAGCTATGGTCTGAGTCCCTCCGATATACGGAATGATTTTATCCAGAGTTTGGCCACTGGACGGGGTGCTGCTGGTTTGCCCATTTTCAAATGCGGCCCTTCTAGGAGGATTGGAATAAAATAGTTATGGGAACTTAGGGTGCAGGGTGCAGCAAATAACCACCCCCCCCCCAGTTTATAGGTGCATTTATGGGTGCAAAATTGCCCTGGGTTAGGTTGCATGGGGAAAAGCGCTTTTTAGAATTTTATACACCAGGTGCATACTAGGTACTCCATAAGTAACTTTTAAAAGTGAGATCCCGCTGGGCGTGGTGGCATATGCCTGTCATCCCAAGCGGCTCAGGAGGCTGAGGCAGGAGGATCACAAGTTCAAAGCCAGCCTCAGCCACTTAGCAAGGCCCTAAGCAACTCACCGAGACCCTGTCTCTAAATTCAAAAATAAAAAGGGCTGGGGATGGGGCTCAGTGACAAAGTGCCCCTGAGTTCGATCTCTAGTACCAAAAATTAAGGTGAAATTCTAGAGGACAGGTGCCTGATGCTTGCAAAGCCCCGTCCAGAGATTGCTAAGAGCATGGTCCTCAATGAGGCTGGGTGTCTTTCCCCCGTCTACGTAGATGACGGCCCGACCACGGGCTTAGATAAGACACCCTGCCAAAATGTTGAAGGCCACTGAGCACCCCATCACCCACAGTTTGTCTCCATCTAGATCTAGGATAAAAGCTGGGACGTCAACCTTCTTCTTTCGCCTTCTTGCAAACCGCGAGGCCTCCACAAAGCCCGCGTTCTCTTGGTCAACCTTCTGTTCAGCTCGGAAGGTGGCCCGGACCTCAGGGCTGTGTGTCTCAATAAGTAACTTGCAATTCAGTGTGTGACCTTTCCGTCTTGAGTAAAGTTACAGAAAAGTGGAGACAGATGGAATTCGGGGGGGCAGAGAAGTTCAAGGAGGGAGGATCTACTCGAGATGCATCAGAAAGGGGTAAATAAAGGGACAGATTGAATGCAGCCTGTATCGATTTTAGAAGGGTTGTGCATGATATTGGGGAAGCCGTGGCCGATTGAAGACAAACGGGTGAATTTGCAAGAAGGCGTAACCTATCAGGCTGTGTCTGACGTCAGGCTTTGCTTGCAGATGAGGATTTCGGTGTCAGTATCAGCAATGTGCCTGAATCTGTTTTCTGTTGCTATGAATGAAAGCCACAGACTGATTTATAAAGGATGAAGGTTTGCTAGGCACACGCCTGTCATCCCAGCAGCTCAGGAGGCTGAGGCTGGAGGGACCACAGGTTGGAGGCCAGCCTCAGCAACATGGAGAGGGTGGGAGGGAAAGAGGGCCGATGGGAGCCGGTGCCTTGGCTGGCCATGGAAGAGAGACTCCAAAAGACCTTGCAAGGGGCGGTCCTGGTTCCCTGGATCTGTCGGATGATGGGGGGGAGGCAAGTTCTTTGTCTCGAGGAGATGGAAGATTCACAGGGAGCCTCCACTTGACAGTGAACCCCCAGCTCAGCCGTGCCCGGCCGTGCTGGGGTTGTTAGGACTGAGTAAATGCAGTCACTTTCAGGGCAAGATTGACGGCTGGGCGGGGAGAGGGCAGGCGCGATGGTGACCATGATAGCGAGGGAGATAGGCACATCATGCACCCCGTGTTCATCCACAGAGCCTCTTCCGCGGTAGTGGGCACGATGCGGAGTGAATTCTTAAATGTGCTGCCAATTTTCATTTCATTTAAACGTGGGCTTTGCGTCATTCCGGTAAAAATCGATCCATAAATCCACACGCCATCAGCTGCAGGGTAGACTGATGATAGAGCGGGAAGCCCAGAGGAGAATATGGTGGAAATGTGAAGGTGACGTTTCAAGGCAGACAGCCAAGAATAGATGACATATTGAATAAGCTTTTGCTGGAGGGGAATAAGCCTGCCATGTCTGGCACTGTGCTAACGGTTTCCGTGCACTTAAAGATGGTGGTGAGGATGATGGTGGTGGTGATAGTGATGACAGAGATGATGGTGCTGCTGTTGATGGTGGTGGGGATGATGGGGATGGTGTTGACGATGATGATGGTGCTGGTGTTGATAATGATGATGATGATAATGGTGTTGATGGAGATGATGGTGG